GCAGAACAGTAGGACCCAGTGGGGAACAAGTAGCTCTAGTTCACTCAGACATGCTGTGGACAGACCCATCCGTGTGTGTGTGGGGGGGGGGGGTTGGCAGGGAGGGGTAGTGTTGCAGGTGACACCTTTCCCAGACACAATGGGGCTTGGTATTCTCAGCAGTAGATCGTACTGGGCATACAGGACAGAGGTCAGTGGGGGAAAGCTGGAGCAATGGCTGTTGCCCATGACTTATATACATTCACGGTGCTTTGTGAGGGGTCCTTGGTCTGGCCTATGGGGCAAAAGGCCCTATTGGTTCATCATTTAAATCACTAAAAGCTGGGAGTATTTCGGTTCACCTGGCCAAAGTGGGTTTCTGTTCACATCGGCCATCCTCCCTTTCTGTCATCCCTGCTGTTGAGTTGCAAGGAGATGGACCCTCCATTCCATGCCAGGTTCTTTCACATACCATGACCTTTGAAAGGGGGCACCCCATCACTGTCTAGTTGACATGCACATGGTGCTCCCTTTTAGCCCCCTAGTGGTGCAGCCTGGTTCTCATGGCAACCAAGGGGCAGCGGGGGCTAGCTAGGTGCCGTTTCCCTACAAACCAGTGTATACTTAGAACCTCTTCAGAGGGAAAGGGCCATGTCAATTTGTCAGTCCCTCTCTGGTTGGGAATGCAGGTGGATGGCCTGAACTCCTCTGGCAGTTATCTCAGTATTGTTCAGAACACACAGAGGGCCATGATGCTAACACCTTAGCCACACCCTGCTTGAGGGACACTTCAGCGTCCTTGGCAGTATGCCAGCCTGTGCAGGCGCTGCAGTGGGCACCCTTTCCTGTACGTCCAACCCGCCGTGTCTACTGAAGGGTGAGTGGCTAGGGCTTTGGCTTCTTGACTGACAGGTGGTGGCAGTGCCTTAGGTGCTAGGTCACGGAAAACAGTGAGGTCTGTTTCAGGCACTTGCATGTGGATCTGAATGTCTTCCCACACATCCTGACCCTTTCTGAGCCCCCTCAGGATCGCCTACCCCTGGGTTTCCCATCGCCCACTAGAACAGCCCCACTGTCAGGCAAGGCATTACCAACCAGACTGCACTCAGATCAGCCCATGGCTGCTTGTCCTCCTGAGAGGCATCCCCTGCGGATGTGAGGAGAGCACTGCCCTGGCACAGGGCCTGTGGGGTTCTGCCCTCCCAGAGCCAGACCAGCATCACAGAGCACATTTTCCTTGTGTGGTCTCTGCCTCACAGCTCAAATGGTGGCCCACTTCACTGGTATTTTTGCCTTTTCAGAGGCTGTGTCATACTTTGACCCCCTGTCCACACATGCCCCTTCCTTATCGTGACAGCAAGGACTGAGCCCCTGTGCCAGGTGGGGCGTAAAACTGAATTGGCTGGCTTCCAGGGGCCTCCCCTCCCCACAGAGAAGTCCTTGGCCAGTGTAGTGTTTCTCTCCAGGGTGCTGCTTTCCCGAGTCCTGTCTCGGGTCAAGTGACTAGCTAGGCAGTCATTGCATTACAGTCTAGGGAGCGGCCCAAATAGTCTGAAACCAGGCCCCACAGGTGGAGACCCTACTCAGTGAGGTAGAGCACTACACCTTGGTGGGGGCTGGGCATCAGGTGGTTAGGGCCCCTGCTGGCCTCCCCTGCTCTAGGGTGCAGATCATTATGGGCGCTGTCTCCTCCAGTAAAGCATAGGCCTATTTACTTGAATGAAATGTGCTGAGATCACTGAACTACTGATTAAGCCAAGTGGCCCCTGAGAATCTTGGCCATCTCTCTACCATTCAACATTGAGCTTATTATTACATATTCATCTTGGGGGTCTTAGTTTCTTCATTTGTAAAATGAAAGGTATGGACTTGTTAACCATGAGTGGCCTGTGCACATCAAAATCCTTAGATCCTTTTATGATTTTATTCGCTTAAAAATCACCACCCACTTTACACAAATAAAAATTCTTAATGGCAAAAAGTGCCAAAGTGGATCACACTGGGAATCTTTTGGGTCAGGAATTGGAGTCTTTTGATGTACCCCAGGTTGCCTCAGACCAATGAATGTCTTTTTAATCTGTGGTCAATTTTAAGCAATTAAGATGGCATCTATGGGTTCTCTAGCACTGTGACATTTGGTCCACGAAACCCCAATATTCTGAGAACTCAGGAACGTCTCAAATCTAGGGAAGGAGAAGGACCGTAAGTCCAGAAAACACTACAGGTTCAGAATATTTCCTACTTGGCAGATTACTTTGGAGATTACACTTAAAAGTCTAAACAGTATAGTGTTGAAACCAAGATTTTAAATACATACATTGTCTTTCCTGTGCCAAGGCCTAGAAGACCTACACTGCTTGAATTCCATCTGATCGTTGCTCATATGAATATCACAAGAAGCTTGGAGAATGTGAAGTTTTCTAGGGAAAGCAAAATATGGATGTAAATGAAATAGAATGAATATTTACTGAGCACTCACTTTGTGCAGGGTGCTATGCCAAGCACTTCTTATGTATTATGTCATTTAATCTTCACAGCAGCCTTGAAAAGTAGACACTAATGTCTCCTCTTGGCAAATAAGGAGCCAGTGTGCTAAGAGTTCATTCTACATTCTACTTGGGCAAGGTCACACAGAAGTAGGTGATGGAGCTGGTCTTTGGTCCATGTCTGTCTCAACCTAGAGCTTAGCCTCTTGGTGACTACATCGGTGGCCAGCTCTCAGCACCCAGCCAGTACACTTTAAAAAACAATTGAATTTGTAGTGTGAATTGCAGCAATTTACACCAAGTACTGATGGATCACTTTTGGTAGACTTGATGGGGCAAAGAACTCATGAAAGCTTTCCTAAAGAAATTGCTCTGAGTTACATTTTTTGATGAAGACCATAGATTAGGCTAGGCTAGAAGGTGAGGGAACAGACTATATAAGGCCACAGAAATATAAATTAACACATTATGTTTTCAGGAAGCAATATACACACTTATTCACTGCAGGGCAACAGGCAGAAGTAAAGCTGATGTCATAGGGATGAAAATCCAGGAGATTTTACTTTATTATGAATGGCCCTGGAGAAACACTTGAGTTTCTAAGCATGGGAAGGGACATAATTAAAATTATATTTCATTTGACAATTTGTCCTACAACTCGTGCAGGATAAATATGAGCTTTGAGTGCATCAGGGAAGGTCAAGAGAAAATTCCTTATCATAATTCTCAGGAGTACAATGTAGTTCTCCCCATCGTGTGACGGCAATATATGTAGGGCTCTAAATTAAGAGGTCGGGAAGTGGATTTTACACAATTTTCAGAGTACAAGTAACTGCCACAGTTAAGCTAATAGCACAGAATGGAACTCAGGGCTGAGCACATACAAAGCCCTCCACAACAGGCACTAAATTGAATGAAACTGAAGTCTGATAGCAATCACTGCTCCTGAGTGTGGGCTGGGCTGATGTTTTAGTGAACTGTACAGTTGGATCCCTGCCATTATAAATCCCCTAACACTTACTGAACTTTATTTCTCTCCAGTTCCAGAGACCTAATGACTTCTCACCCCCTTTCCGCTTCGGGACTGTGCCCAATGGCAGCACAGAGAGGAACATCCGCAATAACTATGCAGAAATGCATGCCTACATGGGCAAGTTCAACCAGAGGGGCGTGGATGACGCACTGCTCTCTCTGAAAACAGGGTAAGAACGACTTCCGTACTGGAAGTCTTTGGTATGCTTCTCATGTTTATTCGACATAGATTGTAGCACATGTATCAGGCCTGGGTGCCTTACAGAGTTCAATCAAAGGCGTTTTTGTTTGCTCTTTATGGATTTCCAAAGTGGACAGTACCATCCAGGCCAGGGCAGCAAGATTTCTGTGCTAATTATTTACACAAACACACACAAATTCTACTTGCATTCATGTAACCATGAAAACAGAAATTGAATAGAAGTAAAAGCAGAAAGAAGATCTCAGGATAAGGTTCATGCGACATGTATGAAATTAAGACCTGTTGGTTAGGGACAAGGGATACCTAAAAGGGAGTGAAAGCTCCTCGATCACAAGCCATCAGAGTATGCAGACGAGCCTGCCCTACAGCGACTATTGCCAACCTGTGACCCAGCTCTATACTCTAGAAAGTACCTGTCCCTTAAAAGCACTCCTGAGCTGCCAACATGTGGGCTTGTTAGAATGCCAGCCACACTGGGCCCTTGATTCATTTGGCCTACAGAAGCCACAGCTGTGGAGACAAGCAATTGAGCATGATAAATGTGGAGATTGGGAGTCAAGAGGTTTCCTGTGTTGTGTAACTGGCAGACATTTCTGGAAGAGCCACACAGATGCAGAGGTACTTGCTCCTGGTAGACTCGCTCTCATCTCCATAGTCACACATCCCCATAGTCCCAGCAGATTGTAGAAGTTGGGGTTTGAGACCAGTTTGGGTATTCTGGCCTCGGGCCCACCCACAGCTCTAATCCTGTCAGTGTTGTGTTTTAGGGTGGGCCACTTTTGAGGAGGAATGGAATTTATTTACCTTGTATTCATCAAGAGGCTCCTTTTCTTTCTTGCAGACTTCTCTGTAGCTATGTCTGAATTTCTTCTTCACCCTTGATGTGTATACAAATGTTGGTTAGTAATTTGATCCTTCGGCCCCTACCCCAAGTCTAACTCCTTGCCCTACAAGTGATTCCTCACAAAGCACACAATATAAAGTGAGGTTCTCAGACCTTTAGGAATTTGAGGGATCTGAGGTCTCCTGCGGTTTTACGTATTTGTTCTTCATACAAGTCTGTGCTGCCACCACCCAACTCTTCATGTCTCCCTGTGATGCACAGAATCCTGAAGCCTTTCTGACCACAAAAATAGCATTGCACATCTCTTCAAACATATACACCTACACTTATCCCTACTCTGGACTGTAATGAACTGAGAAATGAAAAATGTTATATAAATCTAACCCATGCTATTTGTTGTTATCATTGTAATGGTTACTTTTCATTATTTCTGTTATTTTTATTGATTCCCTTTATACTCCTTCCTTTTAGACACAGTTTATGAGTTGGCTTCAAGCCCAACTCACATTCTCATCATTCTCAGTGGGAGGAAAAGAACCTGAAACCACATAAAGAACAGCCTGGGATGAAGGCTGAAATTCAGGCTGAGTTCCAATCTGAGCCTCACTTTGAACCAGTTCTCTCCATAGCTTTCTGGAACCCGACTGCTTCTCCTTAATGGCTTCATAGGTAGTTTTGTACTCAGACCTCACCACTGGATTTTCTCTGTTTGCCCCCTTCTTGTACAGGAAACTGGACGCTTTCATCTACGATGCCGCCGTGCTGAACTACATGGCAGGCAGAGACGAAGGCTGCAAGCTGGTGACCATTGGCAGCGGGAAGGTCTTTGCTTCCACTGGTTACGGCATTGCCATCCAGAAGGATTCTGGGTGGAAGCGGCAGGTGGACCTGGCTATCCTGCAGCTCTTTGGCGATGGTGAGTGACAGATAGTGCCGGTGGGGCTCAGCTGGTGGCGGTTCCAAACCATCAATGCTTCTTCCTCCTCCGGTCCTCTCACCCCTGCATTTCCAGGAAGCTGGTGCACACTCCTAGGAGACTAGACTTCCTAAGGCCCACAACAGAGTACAACAAGCAGAGTCACTTGTCTATTTTGGAGGCCAGAAGTGCACGGACAGTGCCTCAACCCTGGTTACTAGTGAGGAAGAATCCGGCTCACGTCTCTTTCCTAGTATACTGGGGGGCTGGCAGCTTAGGCATTCCTGCTTTATTAACATCACCCGCGTCCTACTGTCCTGTCCATATGGCTCTCCTCCCACCCCCCTCTTTAAAGGCTCTAGTTCTACTGGGATCAGGGCCCACCACTCTCCAGAATGACCTCATCTTAACCAATTACACCTGCAGTGGCCAACTTCCCAAGTAAGGGCACCTTCCCAGGTAATGTGGGTTAAGATTTGAACATGAGAATTTGGGGGGGGGAAAGGTCTAAAGCAGTTGGTCAAAGAGGTATGTTTGGGATTGTAGGTGATAATTCAACTTCAGGGACAAAGCCAGAGGAGCTACAGAGACGTTCCCAAAGTGGATGGCACTTTGTCTCGAGAGGCCTCTGCTTTTATGTGCCCAGAGGACTAAAGTCATGGCCATCTCCCGGTTCTTCTCTCCTTGGCTGTACAGCTGGTAGAGGCAGGAGGCCAGACCGGGGCCCTCAGAGACAGAGCCCATCTGGTGGTGCCTAGTGTTGTCAAATTGGCGGCCAACTGGCTTTGAGAAACCCCCTCTCCTGCTTGATCACAGCGCATCATCTGCACCCGGTTCCACTCTGTCGTCCCAAGGGTGCACGCCTCCTGTTAGTCTCATGTGGAAGAGCGGCCTGTGAGGCTGATTCTGCTTGCCCCTCCACCCCCACCCCGGCCACAAGCGTCTCTGGCTCACGTCTGCAGGAGCTGTGCTGTTAGGAATGCAACAGGAAGCAGCAGCGTGCAGCTGGAATTTCAGACTCTGGGTGAAGGGGGGCTGTACCACTCGTTAAGAAAATTGTAGTTTGATCAGAGAAGTGACGTGGTTAACATTGGGAAGAAGTGGGGTTAGAGCTGGAGTGTTAGCCAGCCATTTTGGTGTAAGAGCTTCTGTAATTTTAATGTAGCCTTGATTTAGAGGCGACAAGAGAGCTGCTACCTCTGCGGAAAAGCAGCAATTGAGATGATTTGCAAAGGTTGCCAAAGCTATAGCCAGATGAGGCAAACGAAATTCAAATTTTTAACCCAACTAGAGCCACTGGAACAGGAAGAGTCTTCGTGAGATGTTCAGAACTTTGCTGGTCTAGAATTAAACATTCTAGACACAGCTTTTTTCATTTTCCATTTGCCTGGGCTTTCTAGCTTTCTAAATCTTAGTACCCAGTCAAGTGGAAAAGGTTATTGTAACCTGGCATGAATTGAATTCATCAAAGCTTCCCTAAGAAGTGTTAAAAAGGAGGCAGCTCCGAATTTGGTGGTCGCATTGCATTCGAGCTTTTACCCCCTTTACTTAATATTACCCTGTCCAACAAAAGCACACTAAGGCTGCCCAGGGAATTAATCAGCCTCTGCTTACCTCTCTCCAGCCAGTCTGTTTTGCACAGTTTTAAGAGCAATTTTCTGAATCACTTGTTCCCCACCATCTACAAAGTAATCAAACAAAGTGTGAAGTGCAAAGAGCACCCCGGCTCTCAGCAGCCTCACACCAGCCTTTTCAACCCGGCCTCCTCTGCCTGCTGTCAGTCCCACACCCCTCTTCCTGAACAAACCTTGTCGTTCCCCACCTCCCGCCCATGGTCACACACATTCTTTGGTCGGCCTGTAGTGCCTTTCTGTACAATATAAATTAAAACAACCCCCATTCACCACACCTGCCTTGTGAAAAACCTCTGCCCTCCCCCTATATACTGAATTACTCTCCCTTGTTCATGATGCAAGTAAGATACCTGCTTCTAGACCAGCTTACACGGAGTGGCTCATGGGAGCAGAGGTAATAGCCCCGTCTGTCATCCGCCCACCGTAGACATAGTAAGTTTCCATTACTGCTTGTTGGATGTGCCGGTCAATTAATTTTTCTTACGTCTCTGTGTCTTTGTCTCATGTTTTTCTCTCTCCCTGACACCCCTTCCTGCCCTGTGTACAGGGGAGATGGAGGAGCTGGAAGCACTCTGGCTCACGGGCATCTGCCACAACGAGAAGAACGAGGTCATGAGCAGCCAGCTGGACATCGACAACATGGCTGGGGTCTTCTACATGCTGGGGGCAGCCATGGCCCTCAGCCTCATCACCTTCATTTGCGAGCACCTTTTCTATTGGCAGTTCAGGCATTGCTTTATGGGTGTCTGTTCCGGCAAGCCTGGCATGGTCTTCTCTATCAGCAGAGTAAGTGCTGTGGTTGAGGTGCTGGAACTTCAAAGCTTAGCCTAGCATGAGGAGGGGGGAGGGTGCCAGGAGGACTCTAACTCCAGCCCTGTGCTGCCAAGTCAGGAAGCCAAAGCATGTCCTTTCCCCAGGGGCTGGCTGGTGTCATTTCAAGTGGCATGCATGTACACGTGGACACACACACACACACGGGTGATGTTATTTTTCCTTCAAGAAACAGCTTTCTGTGTGGGGTTTGGCCATTTGGTTCTCAGTAAGAACTGGCAGATCTATCAAAATGAACACTTTGGCCTTTTACCAAATGTCTTTCATCACCATTAGCTAATTCGGTATAGGTTGTATTAATCATTTAATCTTTTGAAATGTATCTCTTACTCAAAAGTACAAAGGCAGGTAATTGGCGGTTTCACTGCTCCATTCTGTTTTTAACCATGTGGCGTTCTGAAGAGTCCAATAGCTTAGCATAACCTTCAGAAATAAGTCCTGACCCATAAAAAATTTACATCCCAGAAACTTCCTTAATTGGAGCAAAGTATAAGTCTGAAGTCATTCTCTATCTAGGTCTCTACATTTCTAGTTCAAATTGAGGATTCAAAACAGTTTTAACAGAAAACTACAAAGAATTTAGAACTAAGCTTTTGTCCATACGTGATGGAAACTCAAACGTCCTTTAGAAGAGAAGTCTAGATTGCAGATAGGGACAACTTTGGTCCAAATGGAGTTCTAGAAGGAAGTAAATGTGGAGTCCTCATTGAGGACTTCTCATCCTAGCTTGGGATCGTTTTCCTATCGTAACTAAGTGGCTGAACCCTCTCCTCACTGACTGCCAGTGGACTGGGGCCAGTGAGCTGGCCCGAGAGCATAGCTGTGCTCCCTGGACCATGCATACCCCTTCCCCAAGTCCCATGGAAGGTGATGCAGAATTTGCCCCAGCACCCACCTCACTGCCTCCGGAGAGGGAAGCTGCTGTGCTGTGTCCTGGCCCCACATCAAGAAAGGAGGCCTGAGAGAGACAGTGTCATGCCTTGGAGGCTTTGGGTCTGGTTGCCATCAACTGAGGCTCGCCTCGTGGCAGCCTCTCCCATGTTCTCTTGGGTCCACCCAAAGCACTGGAACAGCTTCCCTTTCCAATCCCTTTGTTTTAAGACAAAACTCAGACAACCTCCTTTGCTAATACCTGCCGTGGCCAGGGAGAAGAATTCCCAGGTGTGTCCCCTGCCAAGGCCTGGAGCAAGGCATTAGCAGGAGGCTGACTGATGTCCCGGATGGTCATTCTGCAGGAGTAGACGGCAGGGAGTTCTCAATCAATACTCATTTGTTGAAATATTAATTATTGATAAGATTGAGAGCGAAAGTACCACCAGAAGGAAAACAGTCACTAATAAGAGAATTCCACAAGGGAATGGTTTATTCCATTTTAGGAACTTGATATTTGTCCCTATTCTTCCCTCCACACAATAAGCTACAGCAGGAAGAAGATCTTTCTTTGACCTGAAAGCTCCCTTCTCCAGTGAATGTGGTTCATGCTCGCCTCAGGAAGAGATAGCTCAGCTGCTGTTTGGTGACCAAAATCCTAAAAAGCTATTCAAAAATTGTCCAAAAACAGAAAAGAACAGACTCTGAGCTCACTGTACTTTACCAGGGTAGATACCTAGAGGGCATGGCTGTCTCAGGAGGTTCAAAATACCTTTTATGCCTATCACTTGCCATCATGGCCTCATTTTTTAAAGTGCAAAAACCTGGGCAGAGAATGAAAAAACAGTGCAAGTCAGCAGTGGGTGGGATGTAGACAAGCATCCACGTGCCTCCTTGGCTCATGCCAGAGACAGCACGAAGCCCAGGTCCTCGGGCTGGCTGGTAGCCCTATCTGCCCAGGGCTTCCTCAGGCGCTTCACGCCCTGTTTCCAGTGCCCGGCCTTCCCCAGACAGGTAAGGTGTTCACGCCTCACCTCCCTTGGAGACCTAACCCGCCCCACTCTCCTCTCGATTCAGGGTATCTACAGCTGCATCCACGGGGTGGCGATCGAGGAGCGCCAGTCCGTGATGAACTCCCCTACCGCCACCATGAACAACACCCACTCCAACATCCTGCGCCTGCTTCGCACCGCCAAGAACATGGCCAACCTGTCCGGGGTGAACGGCTCGCCGCAGAGCGCCCTGGACTTCATCCGCCGCGAGTCCTCCGTCTACGACATCTCTGAGCACCGCCGCAGCTTCACGCACTCAGACTGCAAATCTTACAACCCGCCCTGCGAGGAGAACCTGTTCAGCGACTACATCAGCGAGGTGGAGAGGACTTTTGGCAACCTGCAGCTAAAGGACAGCAACGTGTACCAAGACCACTACCACCACCACCACCGCCCCCACAGCATCGGGAGCGCCAGCTCCATTGACGGGCTCTACGACTGTGACAACCCACCCTTCACCACCCAGCCCAGGTCCATCGGCAAGAAACCCCTGGACATCGGTCTCCCCTCGTCCAAGCACAGCCAGCTCAGCGACCTCTACGGCAAGTTTTCCTTCAAGAGCGACCGCTACAGTGGCCACGACGACCTGATCCGCTCCGACGTGTCCGACATCTCCACGCACACCGTCACCTACGGCAACATCGAGGGCAACGCGGCCAAGAGGCGGAAGCAGCAGTACAAGGACAGCCTCAAGAAGCGGCCGGCCTCGGCCAAGTCCAGGCGCGAGTTCGACGAGATCGAGCTGGCCTACCGCCGCCGGCCGCCTCGCTCCCCGGACCACAAGCGCTACTTCAGGGACAAGGAGGGGCTGCGGGACTTCTACCTGGACCAGTTCCGCCCCAAGGAGAACTCCCCGCACTGGGAGCACGTGGACCTGACCGACATCTACAAGGAGCGGAGCGATGACTTCAAGCGCGACTCGGTCAGCGGAGGCGGCCCCTGCACCAACAGGTCCCACCTCAAGCATGGGGCAGGCGACAAGCACAGCGTGGTCAGCGGGGTGCCGGCCCCCTGGGAGAAGAACCTGACCAACGTGGACTGGGAGGACCGCTCCGGGGGCAACTTCTGCCGCAGCTGCCCGTCAAAGTTGCACAACTATTCCCCCTCGGTGGCCGGGCAGAACTCGGGCCGGCAGGCGTGCATCCGCTGTGAGGCATGCAAGAAGGCGGGGAACCTATACGACATCAGCGAGGACAACTCGCTGCAGGAGCTGGACCAGCCGGCCGCCCCGGTGGCCGTGACGTCCAGCGCCTCCACCGCCAAGTACCCCCAGAGCCCGACTAACTCCAAGGCCCAGAAGAAGAACCGGAACAAGCTACGCCGGCAGCACTCCTATGACACCTTCGTGGACCTGCAGAAGGAAGAAGCCGCCTTGGCCCCACGCAGCGTGAGCCTGAAGGACAAGGGCCGGTTCCTGGACGGGAGTCCCTACGCCCACATGTTCGAGATGCCAGCCGGTGAGAGCACCTTTGCCAACAACAAGTCCTCAGTGCCCACTGCCGGACACCACCACCATAACAACCCCGGCGGCGGTGGCTACATGCTCAGCAAGTCGCTCTACCCCGACCGGGTCACGCAAAACCCTTTCATCCCCACTTTTGGGGACGACCAGTGCTTGCTCCACGGCAGCAAATCCTACTTCTTCAGGCAGCCCACGGTGGCGGGGGCGCCGAAAGCCAGGCCAGACTTCCGTGCCCTCGTCACCAACAAGCCGGTGGTCTCGGCCCTCCATGGAGCGGTGCCAGGCCGTTTCCAGAAAGACATCTGTATAGGGAACCAGTCCAACCCCTGTGTGCCTAACAACAAAAACCCCAGGGCTTTCAATGGCTCCAGCAATGGGCATGTTTATGAGAAACTTTCTAGTATTGAGTCTGATGTCTGAGTGAGGGGAAGAGAGAGGTGAAGGTGGGTACGGGAGGGTCTGGCTGTGGGCGTGTGGTGCGCATGTCACGGAGGGTGACAGGGCTGAACTTGGTTCCCATTTGCTCCTTTCTTTTTTAATTTATTTCTGGGATCCTGGAGTTCTGATTCCTTCCAAGGGCAACCCTAGTGACCTGCACCGGCTTTCCTCCTCCCCCTTCCCTCCTCTTGCCCCTACCCCACCCCGCCTGTCGCTCATTCCTGTCCCCAGGAGAGGACACAGGGGCTTGTCCATCCGGAAGGCCCAGTGGAGAAAGGGCAGTACACTGCATCGCAGGCCCCCTCCTAGCAGGAAGGACTCCTGGCCACCACTGGGTGAAGCAAGGAGAAGCAGGAGGCAGCCACAGGAGCACATGACAGCTCTCCCCCAGCTGACCTTTAGGTATAGGTGAGGACCCGAAAGCACCTAAAAACGAACACTTAGCACACGGCTGGTGAATGAGAGAGGCTCGTGCTAAATGCTGGCTGCTTCGATGGCATGTTTAGGGGTCGTATGCCCAGTCCTGGGGGGAGGTGGGCCATGTGTGTTTATATATAAGCCAACAGCGGGTCTGATTCCATCCCCTAAGACTCACATGTGCTAAACTGGAATGAAACACCGGTGGGTGACGGCAAGTGCGTCAGAGCCGTGTTCGTTCTGTGTGCCATGGGGACAAGAGGATGGACTACCTGAGCGTCCACACATTTGCACAAGTGGGGTCACAGGCCTTCGGTGTGGGAAGGCACCCTTGACTCACTGCTGCTGCTTCCAACACTCCTAAGCCATGTGCTTGTTTGGCTTATATACAAACAGAGATGGTCGTGTGGGACCCGGGCGTTGGCTGCTTCTCCCCTTGATCCTTCCTGACTGAGGAGAATGCAAGTTCTTGACAGAGACATCTGTGGTCTCGACAGACAGGAAGGACAGTCCTGCAAGAAGGAACAGAAACCGTGCTCTGTGGTTGCACATATTTTCAACCGATTTTGGCCAAGAACTTCCCAGGGAGGAGAAAGGGTCTAGAAGCAGCCATGATTCTTTTTTTGCCCACTCTTAGGAGCAAAGGATTCTCGAAAGCTCTTTTGAGCTTTGGCCTGGAGCTAGGACTTCTAAGAACAGGGGAGTGACCTCAGAGTAGGGTAAGTGAGAGAGGGGGATGTTTTTCAATGCTTTGATCCCTTCTTACTTAGCCCGGAGCTGGGATAGCAGGTCTGTTTCCCCAGAATGGAATACAGCTGCTAGGGAACCGTGGCGAGGACCGAGCTTGCTCTGTGAGTACAGCTCAGGAGGTATGGATGAAGAGATCCGGAGTGGGGAGAGAAAGTGCCCTCCTGCCGCCCCCTAGGGTCCAGCTCCCCGGGAATGTGCCTGTGAGCCCCTTCTGAGGAAGCCAGTCCATTTCCCCACAGCGCCCCTTCCCCCGCCCAGATCCCACCAATCAAGAAACTATATCTGTATATGAAATTCCAGGGACGAGGGCATTGGCGGGTAGGATGCCCCTTCGCTAACAGTCGGAGACTTGGGAAGGGAATGAGCATTTGTTACTGCCGGTACTAAAACTTGGGGTAGCGCTGTTCTAGGGGCCAGGTTGGTGGCAGCCAAAGAGCTTGGGGGGCAGTGTGCAAACTGGACTGCAGGCTCCCCACGCTGCACACTGGATACACAAACAGAAAGGTGTTCGTCCTCCTCTGGAAGGAAGCTGCCATGTCACGCTCGCTCGCCAGGGCTGTGCTCGCGCTGCCTTCTGCTGGCACCGCCTTCACCGTCCTTCCTCGTCCCCCACCCTCCTCCTCATTTTACCTCAGTATCTTTCATTTTAAAGCCAGCTGAAGGCCTTGTAAAGATTTGTTTTCTTTCTAACATGAACATGGGGGCAAGGGGCTGAACCTCTCACAGATTTGGGGAGAGACGCATGGAGTGCTTTACCTTAGATGCCAGGAAGGACTTGGAGAGAGGACAGAGGGCGTGAGGCGGTGTCTCCAGGAGGAAGGAGGAGAAGGGCCACAGCAGCATTGCTCCACCCTGACCCCGTCTCAGGTCAGGGCTCCTTCCCTCACTCTTCCTCTTACCTCACCCCTTTAAAATAAAAAAACCAAACCAACTAACCTAGCGAACAGCAATCTAGAACAAAGGGGGGCTCTGGTGGTCTCCACTGGTGATGGAAATCAAGATGGTGTTTATTTCATATGTAAATATTTTGTTTTCTAATTAATTTTGTATAGATAAAGTGTTCTCTTGTGAGTATTCAGGGTGTTGGGCTGGAGGGAGTGGGGTGGGGACGGGAATGAGGGGGAGAAGTGTTTTGTTACGGGTTTTCGTTTTCCACGGGGGACTTGTTTTGTATGGCATTTGCTTCAGGGTGTCTGGCAGAATGTGAATGGAGGCCACTGTGGTGAAAGTGCAAGGAAAAGTGGTTTGTGCCCGTGCGTCCGCCCCTCGCAGTCCTCTTGGTGGTCTGGGAGACGTGTTTCTGGGCCTGGGGTGCACACAGGGTCCAAGGTGGCTCCATGCAGACCCCAGATTCCCTAATTCCTTGCAAAATCCAGCTGATGGGGCCCTATTTTCCCCCATCATCACTCAGTAGGGCTCAACGCAGAATGGAGATCGCATGAACCCCTCATTCTTGATGTGGCTGGGCAGTTTCAGAAAACTCCATCCTGAGAAATCTCACGGCGGCACGCCCTGATGTGTACCATTCACCTCTACTGCCTGATCTCTCTCCCCTTCCAGTCTGCACTACTGGCCCCCCCCCCAAAATTCCCTCCAACTCTGATTTTGAAACTTGTTATATCTGGTTGCAGAAAGAGAGAGACACTGGGTTCAAGTCTTGCTGATTCCCATGCTTCTCTAGAAAAGACAGCCAGGTTGGCTCAAAACACAGTGACCAGGTGATGGTCTTAAAAATGTGACATGAGTTGGTTTCAGAGCTCAAAGGACGGGGGTGTATAAGGGGTGATGTGCGAGGGAACGGTAACTTCACATTTGCCTTGTCCTCATTTCTGCCATCAGGAAGGTGCTATTTACCTTGAGCCAGGTGTTCATAACCTGCCCTCGGGTTAACCAGACAAATGGGGTTTCTCTCACAGGATGGCTGGCTTTGTGAAGGTGGCAGCCTCCTCCACCACAGGATGAGATCGCCGAAGCCATTTAACGATACCACGTGACACTGTCTTCTGACCTCCCGTCATCAACAACTGTCAGCTGGATAATCTCATTTGTCTAAATCTTTTATTTAGCCCCCCCCCCAATTGCTTACTTCTCTTCAACTGGATGTTTGAATTGGGACCAAAGATATGCATGGTCTGCTCAAGAAAGCTTAAAGAAAGGAAGGCTAAGCATTGTCAAGTTCTAGAAGGTACTTCATTTCAAAATAACCAGCGAGTAAAACCTGAGAATGAATTTGGCGGTAAGTCCCCTCCGATACCACAGACGGGTCTAGACAGAGACCTAGTCTACCCAGAATGCCCTCGGGAGCACTTATGGTCCCAGGTCCCTTCGCAATCTGTGCTGTGTGGACCATGGTATCTTTCCCTTCCACTGTGCCCTCCCTTCAGAGGCAATGCTTCCACCTGGCCATTTCCACCATCCTTGGAACCATCTGCCCCTTACATTTGCCCGAGTTGAGTCAGGAAGATGCTCCTCTGTCACAGTCACGCGGGAAAAACACCCTCAGGGATGCTTTCCGCTTGTCAGCCGCGCCATATTGTAATTGTGGGGAGACAGGCGCCCCAAATGATTTCATTAAATACTGGTGGTGTCTGTTGTGCCAAAACACGCGTGTAATGTGATGAAAAAGGCGTCGTTGATATGACTGAGTATCGCCCACCCAGCCGCCATGGCTATGGGAGTGGCTCCACAGGGAATTCTGTGCATGGGAGGAGGAGAAACTGCGCCAATGGAAATGCAGCGTGCTGGTCACCTGCACATCTCATTTACGAGCTAGGGTTTCTCTGGGTTGGTTAGTTGGCTTGGTTGGTTTTCAGTTCTAGATTCAGATAATGTGGGCAAGTGGCCTTTGGAAAATACTATTCTAGAACTCACTGTCTGCCTTTTATCCCCATCTGTAAAAGGAGAACCCTGTCACTGTTTCGTGCCCATGGGTGTGTGTCTGCTGTGTTAAGAGTGATGCAGGTAGCATAAATGCTGTGCATGAAGGTGTTACCAGGTCCGTGGCTGCACCTTGTCTAGTGCTCTGTGAGCCCAAAGCCATAGAAGCCACGTGTGCAGCGGGCAGCTGCCATGCTGGAGTGCGCCAGAGACTAAGGCTGCATAAGGAACCCTGATGGGTGAGAAGCGGCTCAAGGTACACAGTCATCTGGGTGGGGCTGGCCTTGCAAATGCGACAGGACCATGGTGAGGTGTCAGAGATCCTGGGAAGGCCTTCCATTCCTCACCCAGCCCACTACTGGCCTCTCACACAGATTGGTTCCTCTAGCCCAGAGCTGCTCAGCTATCAGTTAAATAAAAAGATTCCCAGGAAAGTTGACAAAACTAAGCCATATTAGGGATTTATACATCTAGATACCTAGTTTGCATGAAGATTCTCATTCCTTTTCCTGGGACTAAAGTTATGAGGTAGGAGAAAAGGGAGAGCCAAGAGCCCTAACAACAGAAGCAAAGTGCAGCTTCCATGGCGTGAAGACATTCAGACCACATCCCGCGCCTGTTGATGGAACAGGCACCCCCGCTAGGCATTACTTTCAACAGTCATGTCAATCTGTATTTATGAATTTATAAATCCACCACCTGGTAGGGCAGGCTACAAGCTAAGTCTTTCTACAGAAAATGGAAGACTTAAGTAGACAGTTAGGAAAGCCCAATCAAATTGTTAATAATACTAATCTTCCCAGTTAGCTGCTTTGTTCAGTAGTCCATACTCCCCACCTCTATAGGGAGCACCTAGTGGTCCTGAGGCTCGCCAGATGTTCAAGGAGCTGTTTGATCACTGGGTACTACTCCATAGTAGGATTTTTACATTTTTTTTAATGTACCCGTTACTTAGGACATCAGTAAACTATAGTTTATCTAATACCAGTGTAGATCTAGGATTCTATTCTAGTTTGGGGGTTCTGCTATCACATAAAATTACAGGCTAGATAAGCACATCCAGGTCCCCCCCCCATCTCAAATACACTCACTCCATCACACTGGTACCCCATGTTTTCTGTGACTTGACACATAGACCTGGCCATTCGACCATACCACAATACCTTCCCCCAAACCTTCAAGTCACTGCTATTTCACTGCCTTGGAAAGGCCAGTGAGGTCTGGGGCCTCAAATTTACCATGATGCAGTGAGAGAATCAATGTTGCCCATGAGCAGTGGGTTAGGAGAGCAGTGCTGGGAATAAGTGAGCACAGCAGGAAGCCCATGCATATCCCTGCCCGTGTGTCCATTTTCATCCATCTCCGAGCTCATCACAGTGAATGTCTGGAGCTGTTCCCTGCTTTTATTTAAAGCATAATTGCTAGTGTGATTATGAGGGTGAGGATGCCTGATGGGAACTGAAGGTGGAAAGCAGAATGGTTAAGTAGAGTCCTCACAGGCTGTGGGTGTGGGTGTGTAGAATCTGAGTTTCGGTAAAAGGTAAGAGAAATGAAACTCAGTGCAAGGTTGAAGGATCCAATTTAAAAAGCACAATACTAAGCCCACTATGAAACCGTTACTTTCAAGATTCGGTTTCCACACTTTAAACCTGAACTCTGTCATTATGTTAGCCTTGTGATTTAGGAGGTGGAGTAGATTCCAGCACTATGGAGAAGAAATGTAATCAAAACTACTTAAATATGTTAGTTCAATTAAATCCATGTCTGCTGAGCACACTCCCTGCCCTTGGGCTGGTGCTGTGGAGAATAAAAGATTTTTAATGGAGTATATTATGTCACGTGTAACATGAATATGAAAGTACAAGTGATTTAAGTGTTTCATTTTGTATGTATAAGGAGGCATGCCTCAATGTGTAGATTTATTCATGCAGGTTTCCTTTTTCCTGGCGTCAGGTTGTTTATGAAAATACTATCGCTTATGCTACTCAGAAAAACCCTGCAGAGATCCAGCCCTTCCTGTTATGACCAAGGATAAATATTCCATTGCCTCAAGCTAAGAGTCAGTGCAAGGTGGTGGGCTCTTTCAGTCTGACCTGCTCTCCTTTAAGATCTCCTTGTTGTGGTTGAGAAACCCCTCTGGCTTTCCTTACTTCCCCCTCTCTGGTCTATCTCTGTGTTCACCTACCAGTCTTCCATCTTCAGAAGAGAAGCTCTTAATCA